TGGGCCTGGAGCTGGAAGGTTCTCGGAGTTCTCTAATTTGTTTTTTGTTTGTTTTGAGATGGAGTCTAGCTCTGTCACCCAGGCTGGAGTGAAGTGGTGCGATCTCGGCTCACTGCAACCTCCACCTCCCTGGTTCAATTGATTCTCCTGCCTTAGCCTCCTGAGTAGCTGGGATTACAGGCATGCGCCACTATGCCCAGATAATTTTTTTGATTTTCAGTAGAGACAGGGTTTCACCATGTTGGTCAGGGTAGTCTTGAACTCCTGACCTCGTGATCCGCCTGCCTAGGCCTCCCAAAGTGCTGGGAATAATAAAATAAAAATTTTAAAAGCCACAAATATTCAAAGCTCATCGTGTGATAGCTATTTTACTCTTTACACACTTGAGGTTGTTGCATCTATCAAATCTGTGTGGTGAAAATACTATATAATGGAGTGCTGCGTGCATCTGTTTCCAACTACATGTGTTGGTGGCTGGAAATTGGCCATGGTGGAAGTATTTACACATGGAAGTTGGCAAAGACTACAAATCACGCCTTGGTGGCTTGATTTATTGCTTTGTTGATTGTGTAGAGCAGAGGTCAGCCAAGTTTTCCTGTAAAGTAAGTGTTTTCAGCTTTTTGGGCCGTGCAGCCTCAGTTGTAACTGCTCAACTCTGCCTGAAAACAGCGGTAGACAATCTGTAAATGACTGAGTGTGGCTGTGTTGCAATAAAACTTTATCTAAAAAAAACAAACAGTGGGCCAGATTTGGCCTGAGAGCCATAGTTTGCTGGACCCCTGATCTAGACTTAAAAAAGTAATGGAGAAGATGTAAAAGGTGTAGATTAAACTTAAGTGTTACTCATCTCTGAGCTTAAGAAGAGATGGCAGCTGTGTTGGGGCAGGCAGAAAAGCCAGTATGGAAAGAAGAGATGAGAAGAGACAGGATCATGGAGCAGAAAAAAATTGAGGAAACACTCTCCCAGTGTGGGGGGAAGAAAACTCGTACCTGATTCAACCAAGAAGTTGCTCATGTCACTAGTTGGTGACAACGTATGTCTTGTTTTCTATTTCTTCCTTATTTCATTTTCATCTTGTTAAGGGAAATGAAAGCATCAGTTAACTTCATGCCACGGAGCTCTCTCATTTGCTGATTGCATCCACAGGTTGGCAAAATCCAGGGTTTGGCTGAAATCAACAAAAGCATTCTGTGAGAATCAGTTGGCTGCATGGAATGGACGATCAAGAAGGAGTATTATTATTATTTATAAATTGTATGCTTCACATCCTGCGGGTGAAATGTATACATTTCTATGTGTTTGTGTGAACATGCATACATGCACACCTGCATACGTCTACGTTTTTCTGGAGAGCCAGTTGTGAAATGTTCCCAACACACCATTGTCCATGCCTGTACATGAGTCAGTCTGGCCCAGCCTGCTTTGCAGGATCATTGGACCATTCCACTCTCTTCACTCCCACCGGCTCCCTGATTCTACCTCTTACCTCCTGTCACTTAAATACCACTCCCGCCCCTGCAGCTTCTGGCCCTCACACAGCTGCTCCTCCTGTGTGTTCAAACAACCCCTCCCTGTTGATCAGGCCCACATTTTTATATTCTTTTTTTTTTTTTTTAGACGGAGTTGCGCTCTGTCACCCAGGCTGGAGTGCAGTGGCACAATCTCAGCTCACTGCAACCCCTGCCTCCCGGGTTCAAATGATTCTCTTGCCTTAGCCTCCTGAGTAGCTGGGATTACAGGTGTGCACTACCACGCCCAGCTAATTTAAACCCACATTCTTAACCCTTTCAAAACCCTCTGCCTATTTGACCTTCCCTTTGGTTATTTCCCAGCACAAACTCAGTATCACAGAAGAAATCTGCCGCTGTGTAGCTTTAGTACTGCAACCCTAAAGTTACAGAGTGCGGGTCTGTGTGGTCCCCCGGTTTCCCATAAGGCTTGTCGGGGATGTAGAGGGAGCCCAAAGGAGTGCTGTGCCGACTGCGACCCTCCCAGGCCCAACTCAGAGGGGAATCCCCTATTTGACCCCAGCTCCAGACCAGCCCCCTCCAGGGAGACTGTTCCTACATACAGTGCTCACCCCCTTCCCAGAATTCCTTAGCGGAATCCTGCAACTGTAAAGTAATGAGGAACAGCACATTATGACTGGAGGATTGGCTTGGTGGCACTTTAAAGGCCACTTGCTTTTATTTATTTTTTTTAAGACAGAGTCTCACTTTGTCATCCAGGCTGGAGTGCAGTGGCACAATCTCAGCTCACTGCAACCTCCTTCTCCTGGATTCAAGGGATTCTTGTGCCTCAGCCTCCCACTAAGCTGGGATTACAGGGATGCACTACCACACCCGGCTAATTTTTGTATTTTTGGTAGAGACGAGTTTCACCATGTTGGGCAGGCTGGTCTCGAACTCCTGACCTCAGGTGGTCCACCCATCTTGGCCTCCGAAAGTCCCAAAGTCCTGGGATTCAGTCATGAGCCACCTCACCCTGCCTGTCATGAGTTTTAAAACAACCCTTTCTTACCTTTTATGGGTGGGGGTTTTTTTTTTTTTTTTTTGAGATAGGGTCTTGCTCTGTCGCCCCAGCTGGAGTGCAGTGGCGTGATCTCGGCTCACAACCTCTGCCTCGAAGGTTCAAGGGATTCTTCTGCCTCAGCTTCCCAAGTAGCTGGGATTACAGGCTCGCGCCACCACGCCCAGCTAATTTTTGTACTTTTAGTAGAGACGGGGTTTCATATGTTGGCCAGGCTGGTCTCAAACTCCTGACCCCAAGTGTTCCGCCCACCTTGGCCTCCCAAAGTGTTGGGATTACAGGCGTGCGCTACCGTGCCTGGCCTTTTGTGGTCTTTTTGCTCCAGTGTCTGTGACTTCCAACAGGACACGCTGCCTCCTGCCACCGAGGCCACTGAGGGTGACGTGACTCTGCCATCAGCACTCCTGCCCCTCCCTGCAGAGGCCAGTGGGGACTGGAGAGCGCTGCAGAGGGGATGGTTGGCCAGAGCCCTTCTGTTCTGGAAGCATCCTGCATGAGGCCTTCCCAGTCCCAGGGAACTGACTTTTCCCTCTCATCTTCGTCCCTGCCCGGCCTCCTCTGCCAGCCCGGCAGCGTTTGGGAGAACCCCTTGAAGCACAATTCTCCTGGCCTCATTCTGGCCTCAGATTCACGTTGAATTTTGATCTCATAGTTATCATAGTATCATTCCTGTTTACCTAAGGCTTTGCCCTCCAGGCACCTGACTTAGGACAGGGGTACTGTGTCTTCTTCCTCGGACAAACCAGACGGGCCCCACGCAGCACCAGTGTCTGCACCACAGGCCTGAACCCTGGAACAGCAGAACGTGACTCACAACAGTCATGATAGCAGCAAACACATACCTGCCTGGCCATGTGCTCTGTACACACATGTATTTATTCCTGTAATGACCCTATGATGACACCCTGCAGTCACTGTTGTCATCCGCACTTTGCAGAGAACCTGGCGTGTTGAGGCTAAATAACTTTCCCGAGCAGAGGCAGAGCTGGGACTTGGATCCAGCCCACTACCCTGAAATCCAAGCTCTTAACCACCCCACTGGCTGCCTCTCTCAGGAGCCCTGTAGCCTTTGTGTGCTCCATTGCTGTGTAAGGAACAGTCTGGTTCAGGGACTACAGGGAAGGGCCTACCCCTGGCTGTGTGGCTGGCTGTGGGAGAGCACTCTAGAAAACTGAGCCTGGGCTGGACATGGTGACTCATACCTATAATCCCAGCACTTTGGGAGGCTGAGGCAGGTGGATCACCTAAGGTCAGGAGTTCAAGATCAGGCTGGCCAACATGGTGAATCCCTGTCTCTACTAGAAATACAAAAATTAGCTGGGCATGGTGGTGCATGCCTGTAATCTCAGCTACTTGGGAGGCTGAGGCAGGAGAATCGCTTGAACCCAGGAGGTGGAGGTTGCAGTGAACTGAGATTGTGCCATTGCACTCCAGCCTGGGTGACAGAGCGAGACTCCATCTCAAAAAAAGAAAAAAGATAACTGAGCCCAACAGTGCCCTTGGAGGGGCCCCTACCTGAGCTTTATGCTTTCAGAGGTCCCCGTTGACCCTTGCCAGGTTCCATTCCCCGCCATTGCGTAAGAAGTCCTCAAGGCCGAAGGGACGTGCTGCTCAAAGCCCACGTTCCCCCTCCTAGAGCCAGCCAAAGGTAAGCAGAACCCTGGAATTCCCCGCCCAGGCAATCCTAAGCCTCTGACATGTGCACCTCTAGACCCAAGGGCTGACCAAGGGGCGCTGATGGTTTGTGGCACATTTGCACGAGCATGGACAGGTGTTCGCACACTGGTGCTGAAGGCTTCCCGGAACAGAAACCAGACAGGCCCCACGCAGCACCAGTGTCTGCACCACAGGCCTGAACCCTGGGACAGCAGGACGTGACTCACAGCAGTCATGACAGCAGCAAACACACACACACCTGTCTGGCCATGTGCTCTATACACACATATATACAAAACTTTTTTCTTTTTTTGAGATGGAGTCTCGCTGTGTCACCCAGGCTGGAGCGCAATGGCACAATCTCAGCTTACTGCAACCTCTACCTCCTGGGTTCAAAAGATTCTCCTGCCTCAGCCTCCCAAGTAGCTGAGATTACAGGCGTGCACCACCACGCCCACCCGGCTAATTTTTGTATTTTGTATTTCTAGTAGAGACAGGGTTTCACCAGGGTTTCACCATGTTTGCCTGCCTGGTCTCGAACTCTGTACACACGTGTATGCAAAAGCAGCTGGGCACACGCTGGGAGCTGGCTGTCCCACATCACTCCATTCTAATGCCAGTCCCTGAAGAATTCTAAAGTAGAGCCAGGCTCCTGGGGCAACACCTGTCCCTTATTTTCCAGAGCCACTGTGCCATCCGGGCTCCGGAGAGCACCATTCCTTTTCTGAAGGGCGTCCTCTGTCATTTTGTGAGGGCTGACATTGCTGGGAGCCATGGCCTGACCCCAATGCCTCTTTCTCTCCTCCTTCCTCAGCTGGGGGGTCCCGCTGGTCATCACTGTGGCAGCCGTCGCCCTGAAGAAGATTGGCTATGATGCCTCGGACGTGTCTGTGGGCTGGTGCTGGATTGACTTAGAGGCCAAGGACCACGTCCTGTGGATGCTGCTGACGGGGAAGCTGTGGGAGATGCTGGCATACATACTGCTGCCCCTGCTGTACCTCCTGGTCCGGAAGCACATCAACAGAGCGGTAGGCGCTGCCCTCAGAACTCAGGGCCCTCCTCATGGCCTCTATGCCCAGGTGCAAGGCCTGGCGTTGAGTTTGACCACCCGAGGGGACAGGCTGCGTCTCTGGGGACAGAACCAGTGATGGGCCGGAGGGGACCGGGCACTTACTGTGCACCAGACACCATGCAACACGCTGTATTACACGGATCGTGCATCGGTTCCCGCTGCCCCATTAGGAGCCGGGTCCTTTTGCTCCTTTGTAGATAAGGAAAGGGAGGCTTAGCCGATGAAGGGCCTGCCGGGGCGCAGGGCTCCTGCGGACAGGGCTGCCGTGTCCTCGGTCATGGCCCTCTCCTGCCCCCTGGTGGACATCCTGTGGTGGCTGCTTAAACTTGAGAAATTTAGCTAAAAGGGGAGGATGGACCCAAGACCGGGCTGCCCCAGGGAAGGGAGGACTGTGGAATTTTACAATCAATGATGCAAATAACTCACCTAACTTTGCTTAGTGATTTATTATTTCCTAAATGGCAGAGTTTTCCAGAATTCAGAAATCAGTAGGCCGGGCTGGCTGGAGAGCCTAGGAAAGCATGGCTTTCCTCTGACACCTTGGCCCAGTTCCTCCTTGTTCCTGCCTCCCAGTCTGCATATGTGAACTAGGGGCTTCCTCTTGGCTACAAGCACACGCCTGCAAAAGGCCACAGATTAACCCATTCATTGATCTACTCCACCACTCATTCCGTATGTTACTTTAGTTTTGTTTGTTTATTTTTTGACAGGGTCTTGCTCTGTCGCCCAGGTTGGAGTGCAGTAGCACAATCTTGGCTCACTGCAACCTCTGCCTCCCAGGTTCAAGTGATTCTCCTGCCTCAGTCTCCCGAGTAGCTGGGATTATAGGCATGTGCCACCATGCCCAGCTACTTTTTGTACTTTTAGTAGAGGTGGGGTTTCACCATGTTGGCCAGGCTGGTCTCGAACTCTTGACCTCAAGTGATCTGCCTGCCTCAGCCTCCCAAAGTGCTGGGATTACAGGTGTGAGCCACCGCGCCCAGCCTCGTTCAGTATGTTTTTACTGAGCATCTACTAGCACCAAACTGTGTATAGCATGGGGGTTTATCCTGAGGACTTGGACATGGATCTCACCCTCCCGGAGTGAGGCAGAAGTGCAAGTAACTACAGGCAAAGATTCAATGTGAGGAGTGGCTGTGGCAGTAAGATAGGTCCAGAGGAAATGCTTTAAATTCAGACTTCCGGGCTCATCCTGCAGGCTTGCTGGTGTGAGTCCCTGTGTTTCTTTTTGCCCTCTGAGTTTTCAGGGCTGAAATTGTAGGAGGGTGTGTACCCATCTTGTAGGGAATTCTGTCCACCCAGCAGCCATTTCTGAGCCAGGATGCACCTTGCTCCTGTGGCCATCTGGACACCTAATCCCCGCCCTCCACTCCCATTGTGTCTTCTCGCATCAAGACCTCTAGTTTTCTCTTCTTTTTACTTGGAAATTTAACCAGTTCTCACCCACCCTAGACCCTTCTTCTGCCTCAGTTGGACTCCTTGCTGGAGATGGCTGTGGGACTTCCCAATTGGTCTGAAATCCTTTTTAGACTGGGCACGGTGGCTCATGCCCATGATCCCAACACTTTTTGGGGCCGAGGTGGGTGGATCACGTGAGGTCAGAAGTTCCAGACCAGTGTGGCCAACATAGTGAAACCTCATCTCTACCAAAAATACAAAAATTAGCTGGATATGGTGGCACACGCCTGTAGTCCCAGCTACTCAGGAGACTGAAGTGGGAGAATCGCTTGAACCCAAGAGATGGAGGTTGCAGTGAGCCGAGATTGCGCCTCTGCACTCCAGCCTGGGCGACAGAGTGAGACTCCACCTCAAAAAAAAAAAAATTTAAATTAAAATTAAGGCTGGGCGCAGTGGCTCACATCTGTAATCCCAGCACTTTGGGAGGCCGAGGTGGATGGATCACCTGAGGTCAGGAGTTCGAGACCAGCCTGGCCAACATAGTGAAACCCCGTCTATAATAAAAATATAAAAGTTAGCCAGGTATGGTGGCAGGTGCCTGTAATCCTAGCTACTCAGGAGGCTGAGGCAGGAGAATCACTTGAATCTAGCAGGCAGAGGTTGCAGTGAGCCGAGATTGTATCATTGTACGCCAGCCTGGGCGACAGAGCAAGACTCCATCTCAAAAAAAAAAAAAAAAAATTAGCTGGTATACTGGTGCATGTCTATAGTCCTGGCTACTTGAGAGGCTGAGACAGTGAGGCAGGAGGATCGCTTGAGCCTGGGAGTTCACTGTATTCCAGCCTGGGTGGCAGAGTGATTCCTGTCTCAAAAAAAAAAAAAAAAAAAAAAAAAAAAAAGAAATCCTCTTTTGTCTTCTTATAGCCTTTTATTAACTGTTGGTCTCCTGCCTGGGTGATGGATGCCCTTCTCACCTCCTCTTCTTTTCCACTGCCCTGGGAAGTTTCCGGGACCCCGATGAAGGCTCCCAGGCGTTCCGCCAGGCCCTGCCCAAGACTCTCCTCTACAGATGCCCTTTGTGTGTCTTTCTTTCTGCCTTTCCTTTGGCAGGGCAGGAAGCCTGCGGGGCTGAGGCTGACCCCTGCGGGTGACAATGGGTCCTCTTTTCCAAATCAGCAAGTGTTTCAGAAAAACGGGGTAGCAGTGGGCAGGAAGCTGAGAATGTGCTAGTTGCCTCTAGCTAGGAAAGAGCCAAGAGTCGGTGAGCTGGGACAGGCACCGCTAGGAGCAGACTGCAGCCAAGCTAGTGGGCAGTTCGTGCAGCAGTCCCACCCTGTAGCTCCCCTACTTGTTTCGGAGGGGTGCAGCGGGAAGTCCAGCTCACTGGGCTGCTGCTAAAAGCTGGAGGAGGAGGAGGAGGAGGAGGAGGAGGAGGAAGGCTCTGAGCAGGTGAGTTGCAGAAGCTTGGGGGCTCAGAGATGCCACGATGCACCAGTGACTCCACAGGACACCAGGTGCTGGCAGAAAACCTTGGGCACTTCCCCTCCCCTGGGCCTTCAGCGTCCCAGGCACAGGACCAGCTCAAAAATGCATTTTTTGTTTTTGAGGCAAGGTCTCACTGTGTTGCCCAGGCTGGAGTGCAGTGGCGCGATCTTGGCTCACTGCAACTTCCACCTCAGTATTCAAGCTGTTCTTCCACCTCAGCCTTCCAAGTAGCTGGGACTACAGGTGTGTGCCAACACACCTGGCTAATTCTGTTTTTGTTTTTAAGGCAGAGTCTTGCTCTGTTGCCCAGGTTGGAGTGTAGTGGCAAATCTCAGCTCACTGTAACCTCTGCCTCCCAGGTTCAAGCAATTCTCATGCCTTAGCCTCCCAAGTAGCTGGAACCACAGGCATGCGCCACCACGCCTGGCTAATTTTTTTGTATTTTTAGTAGAGACAGGTTTCACCATTTTGGCTAGCCTGGTCTTGAACTCCTGGCCTCAAGTGATCCACCTACCTTGGCCTCCCAAAGTGCTGGGATTACAGGCGTGAGCCACCGTGCCTAGCCTAGTTTTGTATTTTTAGTAGAGACGGGGTTTCACCATGTTGGCCAGGCTGGTCTTGAACACCTGGCCTCAAGTGATCTGCCCACCTCAGCCTCGCAAAGTGCTGGGACTACAGGCATGAGCCACTGCTCCTGGTCAATGCCCAGCTAATTTTTAAATTTTTTGTAGAGACAGTGTCTCACTCTGCTGCCCAGGTTACTCTCAAATTTCTGGGCTCAAGCGATCCTCCTGTCTTGACCTCCGAAAGTGCTGTGATTTCAGGCGTGAGCCACCACTCCCAGCCAAAAGAAGCACATCTTCATTATGAGTGGTTTCATCTATTTTTACAAATTCAGCTTTGATCTGGAAGGAATCTCCTCCTTCCTCTTATGAAAGACATTCTCTAGGAGGAGGAAAGCCAAGACTGGCTCAAGATCACGTTTTTGTTCTCCTCCTGGAGAGGTGGGTGGGCGGAGGGCACAGCAGGCCCTCCCTGTGCAGGGAAGGGGTTTGCATTCTGGAGGGGAGGACAATGATAAGCAATAAACCGGAGGAACAAGGATGAATGATGTCCTGGGACTGAGGGTGAGACAAACTATGGGAAACAGACTAAAATAAAGAGTGGAACGTGAGGATGGGACTATCTAGGAAGTGCCTGTGTAGTTATTTATTTATTTATTTATTTATTTATTTATTTATTTATTTTCTTATTTATTTTTGAGCTGGAGTTTTTCTGTTGCCCAGGCTGGAGCACAGTGGCACGATCTCGGCTCACTGCAACCTCCATCTTCCAGGTTCAAGCGATTCTCCTGCCTCAGCCTCCCAAGTAGCTGGGATTACAGGCATGTGCCACCATGCCCAGCTAATTTTTGTATTTTTAGTGCAGATGGGGTTTCACTATGTTGGCCAGGCTGGTCTCGAACTCTTGACCTCAGGTGATCCATCCACCTCGGCCTCCCAAAGTGCTGGGATTCCAGGCATGAGCCTTCGTGCCCAGCCTCTGTGCAGTTTAAATAGGGGCATCGGGCCTTATCCAGAAGGTGCTGCTTAAGCAAAGTCTTGAAGTGGGCAAGAGGGGAGCCCCAGGGACAGATGGAGATGGGCATTCCAGGACAAGGGAGCAGCCAGTGCGGAGCCCTGAGGTGTGGGTGCTGTGCGTCTGCAGTATAACAAGGAGGTTGATGTGGCTGCAGGGTTGACCTCGCTGTGACCATAAGGGTTGACCTCGCTGTGACCATAAGAAGTGTGTGGAGTGGGGAGTGCTGAAGAGCTCCGAGTGGAGGACTCGCTGGAGCAGACCGGTTTTCAAGCAGCCCTGCTGCTTCTGTGTTGAGAATGGACCGCAGTGGGGAGCAGGACGAGGTGGCAGGGGCAGAGGAGGGAGCCCATCCAGAGAAGCGGTGACACAGCCTGGACACAGGGGCAGTGGCAGAAGGTAGAAGTAGTACCCAGAGTCTGGATCTGTTTTGAAGTTAGAAGTCGGCACGGTGGCGGCTCATACCTGTAATCCCAGCACTTTGCGAGGCTGAGGCAGGAGGATTGCTTGAGTTCAGGAGTTTGAGATCAGCCTGGGCAACATAGTGAGACCGTGTATCTATTTTAAACAAACAAAGAGGGCCGCAGGACTTGCTGGGGTGGGATGAGGGCTATGGGACAAAGAAAGGGCTCAAAGCAGAGCCCCAAGGCGTTGGCCTAGGCAGCTGGAAAGCTGTTGTTTCCATGAGCTGAGACCAGGAAGGGAGCATTGGCCTCAGGGGTCAAGATCTGTCTTCTGTCTTGGACCTGAGCTGTTTCAGATGACTTTGAGACCTCCACATGGAGATGGGGACTGGGTGGAGGATCTAGCAGTCAGGGTTCAGGAAAAGGATCCGGGCTCCACCGCCCATCTCCCCTACCTCCCTGAGCTGGTTCAGGTCCCTGGGAAGACCTGGGCACCCCGGTTGGATGTGGTGGGAGGGTGCCCATCCGCTCAGGTCTGCCCTCGCTGTCCCCACACAGCACATGGCGCTCTCTGAGTACCGGCCCATCCTCTCCGAGGAGCACCGCCTGCCGCGCCGCTGCTCCGTGGCGGACAAGAAGCTGGTGCTCATCCCGCTCATCTTCATCTGCCTCCGGGTCTGGAGCACCGTGCGGTTCGTGCTGACCCTCTGTGACTCCCCCGCGGTGCGGACGCCGGTGCTGGTCGTTCTGCATGTAGGTCCGCCCTCCCTGGCCCTTGTTGTCATCCCTGCCCCCAGAGGAGGCACAGCCTGATTCCTTCCCGCAGCACAGTGGCTGCGCCCCAGTGTCGGCCAAGGCACAGCTGCAGGGAGGGAGCTCGGCCCCACTGTGCTGTGCCTTCCTCTCTGCCCGAGACAGGGCCTTGAAGAGAGGAGACAGAGTGGGATCAGTGTGGTCCGGGATGGGGAGGTGCTCACCAGTGGCCTAGGAGTAGCCCCAGGAGAGTTGACTGCTCCTGAGTCCTTCCCAGCCCAGAAGACCTGGAGCCCTGCTGGAGGCCCACTGCCAAGGTCATCCCAGATCAGCCATGGCGGGGAGGATGGGGGGAGGTGCTGGGGTACACAGCACTTCCCAGCCACCCCATGTGTGTGCATGTGTGTGCAGGTATGTGTGTGTGTTTCTCAGCCATTTCTCTTTTTTAGGGGGGGCTCAGGGACAGAGTCTGGCTCTATCACCCAGGTTGGAGTGCAGTGGTGGGATCTCGGCTCACTGCAATTTCCACCTCCTGGGTTCAAGCGATTCTCCTGTATCAGCCTCCTTGTTGCTGGGACTACAGGTGCACACCACCACACCCAGCTAATTTTTGTATTTTCAGTAGAGACAGGGTTTCACCATGTTGGCCAGGCTGGTCTTCAACTCCTGACCTCAAGTGATCTGCCTGCCTCGGCCTCCCAAAGGGCTGGGATTACAGGCGTGAGCCATCGTGCCCAGCCTAGCCGTTTCTCTTAATTGGAAGAATTAAGAGAACGTGTGTTTCTGAGACCAACTCCAGCCCCGTGCTCACAGCTCCTTTTCTCCTGACAGGGTATCGGGAACACGTTTCAGGGAGGTGCCAACTGCATCATGTTCGTCCTCTGCACCCGTGCCGTCCGAACCCGGCTCTTCTCTCTCTGTTGCTGCTGCTGCTCTTCTCAGCCTCCCACCAAGAGCCTGGCCGGCACTCCCAAGGCGCCCGCGCCCTCCAAGCCAGGAGAATCTCAGGAATTCCAAGGGACCCCAGGGGAACTTCCAAGCACCTGAGCTTTTGTCCTTTCTAGTTCTGTGCATAGGTGCCGCCTTCCTGGGGGTGGGCGCTTCTGTGAGTCCCTGCTGCAGGGGCAGAAGTGCACGTCTGTTGCACCGGAAGCCCCGGGTATTGATGCTCTCGGCTCCACTGGGAGAGCAGCCGCCAACTCAGCTTCTTCTACCTCCTAGATCCTCAGGCAGCAAGTTCCACCTGTACCAGTGTCCTGGCGCACTGGGGTGGGCATTCATCTGCATAAGGGTAGCAATGAGATTCAGGGAAACCAGTGGTCCACGACTGCAGCCACGGTGCCTCCACCCAGTGGACCTTGGTGTCCTGAGGGCCACACAGCACTGCACAGCACTGTTTACAATTTGAGGGATCCATACCTGTGCACTTGTCTTCCGTGTGATTAAATAAGCTGTCAGGGGCCCCAGAGATGTGTCCCCATCCAGACATCATGGTGTTGAGACATCATGGTCTGGGTGTTGAGATTCTCTGGAGAGCCCAGCTTTCCTTGGAAAGTTTGCTCAACAGAGGAAGCAGCTGCCATTCACCAGGTTGAAGGTTCCCCTGAGGTTGCGTGGTGATCACCAGGGGTGGGCACAGCCCAGCACAGCTGCTTAGGGACAGCAGTCTCCCTGTGCCTCCTGGCCTCTCCCTCTATGGGCTGCTAACCCTTGCTGTAGCTTGGGTTTGAGTGTCAAGCACAGGCCAGAATCCACACTCCTGCCCCCACCTGTCAATCACTTCAGACACAGGCTCCCTCCTTCCAATTCCAAGGCTGGAACCAGGGCAGGAAGAGGCGTCTCAGGGAACCCCTGAAGACCCCACTGTCTCCCCAGCTCCGTTCTTATAATCCTCCTGTTCTTGGGGAGACCAAAGTGGGTGAGCGGGGAGGGATTCTGGCTTATTTACTTCTTAGTTTAGTTTTTTGTAAGTTAAAGTGGCCGGAGAGATGAGTAATCCAAATACGATTCCTCAGGCCAGGCACAGTGACTCACACCTGTAATCCCAGCACTTTGGGAGGCCGAGACGGGCAGATCACCTGAGGTCAGGAGTTCGAGACCAACCTGGCCAACATGGTGAAACCCGCTCTCTACTAAAAATGCAAAAATTAGCCGGGCTGGGTGATGCGCACCTGTAATACCAGGTACTTGGGAGGCTGAGGCAGGAGAATCGCTTAAATCCGGGAGGTGGAGGCTGCGGTGAGCCAAGACCACGCCATTGCACTCCAGCCTGGGCAACAAGAGTGAAACTCGGTCTCAAACAAACATTCCTCCCTGAAGGTGAAGGTTTTAAGATTGAGATTCAGCTTTTTTTTTTTTTTTTTTTTTGAGAAGGAGCCTCATTCTTTTGCCTAGAGCTTATGTGGTGGTGCGTGCCTGTAGTCCCCACTACTCAGGAGGCTGAGGCGGGAGGATCCCTTGAGCCCAGGAGTTTGAGGCTTCAGTGAGCTGGGATGGCACCACTGCCACTCTAGCCTGGGAAACAGCAGGACACTGTCTCTGGGAAAAAAAAAAAAAAAAAAGGATTCAAAAGGATTTGGCTATTTTGGTATTCAGTTGGGGTAAGTGGCGGCATGGATCATGGAGCAATTATTTACATTTAAAAGAAAAGAATTGAAAGTAAGCACTTGTATCTCTATTTTTATTCTGTGGCTCTTCCACAAACGCTTTTGTCTTATTTCAGAAAAAGCTTCTCTGTTCAGTCACAGGAGCCATTGGCAAAGAATGGGAAGTGGAGATGCTACCTCCAGGGGCTTGGCGAGAGAAAGTACAGCTTTACCTGTGATAGGTGATTTCCCTTGGAATCCATCGGAACTCGACAAAGCATGCTTTTCTGAGCTTAGTAAAATGGTTCTGGATCAAAACCGAAGTCACATTGTGCTGCCGATCCCTGTTTAACTCTCAAAACCAAAATCTGTATCAGGAAAGGAATAATCATTTAGCAGACTGAGTCCAAAATGCTGATTTTTGGTTTCCTGTGAAAATGGATTTCTGTTTCTTTTTTTTTTTGAAATGGAGTTTCACTGTGTTGCCCAGGCTGGAGTGCAGTGGTGTGATTTTGACTCACTGCAACCACCGCCTCCAGGGTTCAAGCAATTCTCCTGCCTCTCAATTCCAAGCTGCTGGGATTATAGGCACCTGTCACCATGCTTGGCTAATTTTTTGTGTTTTTAGTAGAGATGGGTTTTCACCATGTTGGTCAGGCTGGTCTCGAACTCCTGATGTCAGGTGATCCACCTAAGCCTCCCAAAGTGCTGGGATTGCAGGCATGAGCCACTGTGCCTGTCCAAGAAAACAGATTTCTTGATGGAAATTAGCGAGACAAACATCCCCTTAGGATTGAAAGAGAGCTCTGGGCTGCTCCAGGGAAAGCCACTCGGCAGAGATAGCCTCTGTAAGTGAATTCTGGACTCCCCTAAGGACATTACAGCAAATCTCTGGCTATGTCTCTGGTAAAAACCCTCACTTGAGCTTCTAGAAAGGAGCAAAAATTCAGGAATTTGCTTGCGGCAAAAGAGAACATGATTTACAGATAAAAAAGAAAAGACAATACTAGGACACAGAGGAATAGTGTTAGAATCAACCCTGCTCAGCAGGGGCCTCCAGAGCCCTCCCTGCTGTACCCAAGCCAGGGCTGAGACGTGACTCCCCAAACGGGCTGGCTGTGGTCAGGAAAGGCCTGTAGAGGGAGCTGAGGGCTCAGAAAACACCTGCTCTGGGTGCCTGGGCTCAAGTTCTCATTCCATTTCTTTGATGCCACTGGCCACTCTATCTGCTTCTGTAAAAACCTCCAAAAAGTTACACGTTGGGTATCTAATTCCGCTTCCTCCGCTGCCCACCTCTTGCCACAGATGAATGATCACTGTGAATGGTGGTGACCAGGTGGGCAGGGCAGGGGCTTGCCTGAGTGCCTTAGCCCAGGCCTCTGGCCCACCGACCTTGAAAACAGCAATATCGCCTCCTTCTTAGATCCAGTTACCAAGTCAGTCTAGCTGGGTGGGTAGTGCTCAGACAGGAAGACTGGATGGGAAGGAAGTCACATCCTAAAAGTCCAGGAGGGGGCCAGGCACAGTGGCTCATGCCTGTAATCCCAGCACTTTGGGAGACCAAGGTGGGGGATCACCTGAGGTCAGGAGCTCAAGACCAGCCTGGCCAACATGGTGAAACCCTGTTTCTACTAAAAATACCAAAAAAACCCCACAAAAAGCCAGACGTGGTTGCATGTGCCTGCAGTGCCAGCTACTTGGCAGGCTGAGGCAGGAGAATTGCTTGAACCCGGGAGGCAGAGGTTGCAGTGAGCCAAGATCGCACCACTGCACTCCAGCCTGGGTGACAGAGCGAGACTCCATCTCAAAAAATAAAACAAGTCCAGGAGGGGCTGTTACCTCTGTTACTTCTTTTTAATGTATTTATTTTTGTGAGGCAGGGTTTTGCTGTCTGGAGCACCACACCCAGGCTGGAATGCAGTGATGCAGTCATGGCTCACTGTAGCCTCCACCTCCCAGGCTCAAGCGATCCTTCCACCTCAGCTCCCCGAGTAGCTGGGACCACAGGGCTGGCTAAATTGCAATTTTTTGTAGAGGCAAGGTTTTGCCGTGTTGCCCAGACAGATCTCGAACTCTTGGGCTCAAGCGAAGGGCTGGTACATCTGATGAGGGCAAAAGGGGCTGTGCTCCTTGGACACTTTGCACAGCCCCAGTGGGCTTCTGTCTCCTCTGTTAGTGTGGTTAATGTTTATCTGCCTGCATCCCCCGGTCACCCAAGTGTAACCTCAGCCATAACACGTTCTGCAGCCGGAACAGTGTCCTCAGCTCAGCGTCCCTCGCCCATGCACTTTCTGAACTTTGGTCTTTTTACTAGGTTACCAGCCGCTTTCTGCCTCTTTGTGCTTTTGAGGTTTTTTTGGTTTGTTCTGTTTTGTTTTTAAATAAAGATTATTATTTGACCCAGGCTGAAGGTACAGACAGAACTCTTCACGTGTCCACAACAAGAAAAGTTGTTTTTACAAACTTCTAGTCGTGGCATCAAAAGTGTGAGGTTTTGCATCTGCAGGATTGTCATACGAGCCCTGATGGGGGGGAGGCTGAAGTCTTGCTGTTTTAAATTAAATGAATAAATTATTTTTCTCCTATATGTTCGGTAAACTGATGGCCTGCTGCTGTGTTGCGCAGGGTGGGGAGGGAGCGGTTGCTGCACAGGTGGCTCACATTGGCCTGTGTTGCTGCGGTTCCAGAGCCTACCATGAGGCTGAGACCTGGAGAAGACAGCTCTGCCCTTCTCTCTTGGCAAATGTAGCTAAAGAGGCAGCCGCCCTGTTGGCGTAGCCAGCTTCCCCTGAGTTTGCCCAATAAACACCATGGTGGTGGAGAGATAGGGAGAGGGTGTTAGAATACAGATTCCTGGGCTCTGTCCACAAAGTTGGTGCTTACGAGGGGAATGAAAGGCACTCCTGTTGCAGGGCCCTAGTGTAACTGCCCAGTGGGTTCACCTTGCCTGCTGCCTAGATAGAGCCGATGAGGGTTAACAGGTCCAAGTTCCAAGCACCCATGACTTGGGGCTGAACTTGAATAAGAGAGATGCTCCAGGGCTGAGCTGCCACCCCCTTCACCCTTCATGCATAGTTGTATCACGCACATGGTGACCCACTGCAGCTGCAGCTGCAGGCTTCCTGGTGGTCAGGGACTGCTGGGACACCAAGGGCTCTTCTTGGAATGGAGCAGCCTTCCAAGTGCATCTATCGGAGGTGGCTGCCTTGCTTTGTGACTTGCAGGTCTGCGCTGGCCATGCAGCCCCACCTTGCGGTCATATTTTTCTTTAAACTGCTCCACCTGGGGAATTTTGCTGCCAAAAGCTCCTAAACTTTCTTCCACTTTCTGGATTTTGTGCAGTTAAAACTGCATTGAGGAGAATGGCTTGAACCCGGGAGGCAGAGATTGCAGTGAGCCCAGATCACGTCACTGCACTCCAGCCTGGGTGACAGAGCGAGACTCTGTCTCAAAAAACAAAACAACAACAAAAAACTGCGGAAGTGGCATCTTGAATTTGGTTATTAAGGTACAATATACACAAACTTAAGTAATGCTAGAATGGCAGTGCCTGGTCCTGCTTCTTCGAGGTGACCATCCTGAGGTTTGTTAACTATTCTCTCCTGTCTTTGTCTTTGCATCTCTAAACTTGATGCTATGTGCTTATCTGGGAGAAAATGGAAGCATCCCCTCCCAGCCCTCTCCTGTGACCCTCCACTCATTAACTGCCATGCGCCTTTCCCTTTCCCTCTGTCTCCCCTCAGTGACCTTTTGTCACCTCTTCCCTGACCTCTTTTCCAGAGTTCTCTTCGCCTTCCTCACCCCAGCAAACGCAGCATGCGTTCAGAATCCAGGCTGCATGTTCCATACTGTTCCACACCGTTCCCTCTTGCCTGGCCTCCTGCTTCTGCCTGTATGCAGCCCACACCCCACAGGGTCACCTCCTTCTGCTCCTATAGCCTTCTAAGCGGGTCTTTGGGATGCCACAGTTTCTGCAGAGATGGTAAGTTCCAGGGACCACTCTACCAGGCATTTTCCCCAGAGCCTGCCAGGCTCCTGGCACAGAGTCAGGCTGTATCCAAGGGTCAGCTCAGCACGCAGCTGAGGCTTAGGCCTTGCACATAGGGAAAGCTATAGCAGGGGAAGCTTTGGGGGAAAGGTGGGCCACTTTCTGAATGAAGCACGTGGGCCTAGAAACAATTACTCACTTGTTGGAGGAGAGTCCAGAATCCAGGCTCCATGAGGAAAAGGATTTGCCAGATGTGGTGGGGTTAGGACATTGTCACTAGCTAATAGCTGGCATTTCCTGAGTGCTTACCCTGTGCCAGGCCAGATATGAAGTTGCCCTTCTGTGGGCAGGATCCTGGAACCTGCACAGGTCACAGGCCCATGGGGTTGGTACTGCCTGTACACAAGACAAAGTTGGTGCTTACCAGGGGAGTGAAAGGCACTCCTATTGCAGGGCCCTAGTGTAACCACCCAGTGGGTTCACCTTGCCTGCTGCCTAGACAGAGCCAATTTTTCAAGACAGGGGAATTGCAGTAGAGAAAGAGTAGTTCACATACAGCCACCTGTGTGGGAGACCGGAGTTTTATTATTATTCCAATTGGTCTCCCCGAGCATGTGGGGATCGAGTTTTTAAAGATAATTTGGTGGGTGGGGAGGGGCCAGTGAGTCGGGAGTGCTGATTGGCTGGGTCGGAGATAAAATCGTAGGGAGTCAAAGCTGTCCTCTTGTGCTGAGTCAGTCCCTGGGTGGGGGCCACAAGATGAGATGAGCCAGTTTATCGATCTGGGTGGTGCCAGCTGATCCATCAGATGCGGGGTCTGCAAATATCTCAGGCACTGACCTTAGGTTTTACAACAGTGATGTTACGCCTAGGAGCAGTTTGGGGAGGGTCAGAATCTTGAATCCTCAGCTGCATGACTGCTCAACCATAATTTCTAATCTTTTGGCTAACAAGAAGGGGGTCTACCTTGAGAAAAGGACTGTTATCTTCTTTTTTCTAAACTATAAACTGTAAGTTCCTCCCCAGGTTAGTTCAAAGCCCATGCCCAGGAATGAACAAGAACAGCTTGGAGGTCAGAAGGGAAGATGGAGTTGGTTAGGTCAGATCTCTTTCACCATCTCAGTCATAATTTTGCAGTGGTGGTTTCACTAGCAGGGTCTCAGAGTAGGAGAGAACAACATTGGGGTATTTATTCTTTTTTGTTTATTTGTTTGTTTTTTGAGACAGAGTCTCGCTCGGTCGCCCAGGCTGGAGTACAGTGGCACAATCTTGGCTCATCACAACCTCCAACTCCCAGGTTCAAGCAATTCTCCTGCCTCAGCCTCCCCAGTAGCTGGGATTACAGGCATGTGCCACCACACCTGGCTAATTTTTGTATTTTTAGTAGAGACAGGGTTCAACCATGTTGGCCAGGCTGGTTTCGAACTGCTGACCTTGTGATCTACCTGCCTCTGCCTCCCAAAGTGCTGGGATTACAGGTGTAAGCCACCATACCCAGTCCATATTTTGAAGATCAAAACATGTAGTTTCAGATGAGTCTTTCAGCCTCCTTGGAATTAGCAAGTCATGATGTAATCCTTTCACATAAGTGAACGCAGCATGATGAGGATTTGCTGGTGGTGAGTTGAATGAGTTTTGAGTCTAAGCTATCATTGGATGCTTTTTATTGAAGAGCTGATGAATCTTTCCAGGAAGTTCCTGGAGTGAACCATAAAGTTATTTGCAGCATTTGTCTTGCAGGACAAGAATCTCCTGGGCATAGTGAAGTGATATTGATGAAGGCATCTGTGTGTTTATCAAGTCATCTTATGGTAGACAAGCCAAGGGGATGGCTTTGAATCTCCAAGGAAAGGAGAAGAAGGTGGGTCCTGATGACCAGGTTTGTGAACGACAAGACTCTGGAAAGAGAGAGACTGGGTTCCAACTATGGCTCCATTGTTTATTATACTTGATCTTGGCCAGAAGGCTGATAAGTGGACTCTGTCATTTCTCCTTTTTTCGGGGAGTGGGGGATGGAGTCTTGCTCTCTCACCCAGGCTGGAGTGCAATGGTGTGATCTTGGCCTACTGCAACCTTCACCTCCTGGGTTCAAGTGATTCTCCTGCCCCAGCCTCCCATGTAACTGAGACTACAGGCACGTGCCACCATGCCCGGCTAATTTTTGTATTTTTAGTAGAGATGGGGTTTTGCCATGTTGGCCAAGCTGGTCTTGAACTCTTGACCTCAGGTGATGCGCCTGCCTCAGCCTCCCAAAGTGTTAGGATTACAGGCGTGAGCCACTGCACTGGCCCATTATTTATCCTTATATTACTCTGAGAAAATGTTGACCTCACTCATCTGCAGGTTCATCTAAAATTGGGTGATACTGAGGCTTAAATGAGATCCAGTGATTCTAAAACTGCCTTTGCAAAAATTATGACAGTGTGAGAAATCTGACATCGTTGATTCTGTCTTTCTTCTAAACTCCAGGCTGCCCTTGGTCATTCCTGAGAATGGGCCAAGCTAACTTTGGGAGAAATTTAGTTTAGAGCTTAACCTTAAAGCAAGGATGGTAATAGCCCTTCTCAAAACTAAACCGCCTTTGTAAAACTAATGAAAGCCCACAAGGTTAGGATTATGAGAGGGGCCTGAATTCTGCTAAGATGTAGGCACAGGTAAATGATTACCAGCCATTTTTCCAGAAGTCACAAGATTTATAACTTCCCCAATTACTCCCATAAATAACATCACTATTGTAGAACCTAAGATTCACTTTTTGAGATGTCTCAGACTTGTATTTCTGATGATGGCTAACTCTACTTGGACTCATGACTCAACCCATCCTGTGGCCCCACCCAGAGGAGGACTCAGCACTGTAAGACTTAAAGAAAGAAGAAAGAAACACAAAATGTGGCTTGACAGTTAAGGACAGGTTTATTTTAGAGAAAACAAACCTGAGAGGGGCTTCTGGATGAGTTAGGTCAGAGAGCCCTTCTCTCTTACAGACTAAGGATATTTAAGGGTTTTGGAACGTGGGTGAGCTTGTCATAGGTTTGGTATGTTTCTATGTGAGGGAAAGTTTATTGTGGGGTTGGAATGTCTCTGGTCAGAGGGGAGCCTATCTCGGGGTTGGCATGTTTCTGGTCAGAGAGGGGTTTATCTTAGCAATGGAATGTTTCTGGTTATGCTGACATCAGCCATTAGGCTGATGTTTTGGGGCTAGATTTAGGCAGTTTTTCATTCATCAACAGGAACGTAGGACGGTGGTGTTTGTTCAAGTTGGCGATGCTCCTGCTCTATCAATCCAGTCCCTATAGTTATAAAAAGGATGAGGGGTGGTGTGTTCTTTCTGGCTACTTCCTGCTGAGGGCTGGGGGACGGGAGACAGAGAGTTCTTTGATTTCGGATTGATTACAGGAGTAACTCTATTTGTAGATGTTTTTGGGTAATTGGCTGTGAGATTGCCATGATCCTGTTGGTTAAAAAATCTTTGAAAAAGGTTAATTAAACAGGGTAAGAATGTTAGTCCTAGGCATATTATTAGGAGATGGCCCAGGAATGGGATGATCCATGTTAGGATTTTGTGTTTAAACCAAGAATTTACTTGGCTGTCTTGGT